TTCAAATGAAAACCCAGAATTTAAGAATCAAGCCTGAATCTGTTGATATATTTGAAGTCCAAGTTATATTTAAAGTTACAAATGTCAATGTTTCTCTTTCGGACTGAAAATATCACTAGGCAATATTTTGATTGGACAGGCAGATTAAAGATGTTCAAATACCTGTGCATATACTGGGAGCTGATGGATTGAGACTTATGTGAATTTTCTGTGGGGTCAAGTTGTAGAAGACCACAGTTGAGAAAGCGTTCACAGAACTTATGTGTCATGAGATGACACCATTGGAAAAATATCGTGCACTTGATCCCCTAAATTTTCCAGACTGTCCCTTTCTTGTAACTTTCTCATGAATCTCACTGGACTTCTCCTGTCTTCTAAAAAGAATATAAAATGGATCCTCCATGCTCTTTCCTTAATATAGCCTGTTGTGACTTCATAATACTGAGTGGGAACAAGCTGGTTTCTTTGAAAGAATGATAGGGTTCAATCTTCTATTGTTTAGTTTGTAGTAACGTAAGCAATACATAAATATGCTCCCTGTAAAAATTAAACATTTCAGATAAGAGAATCTCCTTTCACCAGCATTTACAATGATAAGCATCTCCCCTGTCTCTTCCTATGATATATGCAGAGTTTTTACTGTGCATTTGCGTGCATGGAAATGCACCCACAGAAAAAATACAGAACCACTTTGAGTGTAAGGGTGTGTGTTTTTAATAAATCATTCTTCACACAATGCTTTCAAACTTGCCTTTCTTAGTAAAAAAAAGATTCTTGGGGAAAGTCTATATTACTATATGTAGACTTAACTCATTTTTAAAATTGCTGTATATATCCCAGGCTGTGGATATATCCCAGTTTATTGATGCCTCTGCCTACTGGTGGATATTTATATTGTTTCTAATGTTCTACTTATCAACAATGCTGCATTCATTTCTTCCTAGCCCTGTATGAGCTTTCTTCATAATAGTCTCCCTTTTTTTGTTTATCTCTTCTGGTTAGATAATCTTCTTAAAATACTGGGAACCCATGAAATGTAATAGCTAATTTTGTGCAAGGACCAATAATATCCTGTAAATTAGCCTCAAAATTGCCCAAACCATTTCCTTTGGTGAATTCTAAAGCTTCATTAGTACTTGTGATTTAGTCAAATAGGCCTGGCTGGAGCTGTTCCCACCCTGTCCGTAACTTTTGGAATAAGTTTTCTTTATCCTTCTGCCTGCCCATCCTCAGAGCAGCCTTTGTTCCCTGGCCTAGTGGGAGCACAGCAAAGTAAGAATGCGCTTTCATAGACTAAGTCCATTACTGTCTCTCCTACTGTCTACCAGAGTTTTGTCCAGGATATGATGGGGGGAAGACTTTATTTGGGATGACACAGAAGAGAGAACAGATCTCTTCTCTTGAGATCTGTTATTATAACCAGTCATTTGTGATCTTATAACCTGGAAAAATCCTGGAAGACTAGTAAGAGGTAGTTAAGTTTCAGTCACAGTTGAGTGATTTACCCATAAGTATTTCTTAATAGCCCAGCAAGGAGTCATAAGTAAGATCAGGCTTTTGTTGATAGGATTATTTCTGTGCAAGGTAAAATTATCCCGGTATGAAGTACGGGAAAACAAAAAGCCTTTTTCTTTAGGTCTTTAACAAAAGAGCAGGCACAGAATGTCTAGGGAGTGGCTACTGTTGGAATCAGAAGAATGCAAAACTCCAAATGAGGGTACCGCATTTCACTGTGTTTTTAGTGTTGATCTTGCAAAGTGCATGCCTTGTATCACCAAGTTAGCTACCCTTGATATAATAGAGATGCTTTGTTTTGGGACATAGGACAAGTGTTAAAGGTTTCTTGCATATATCACTAACAATTCTACACAGCAACTTATTGACGTAATTTTGACATTCTCGAAAAGTGTGCTCTTTTGTTTAACTCTCTCAACAATACTGACCCAGGCAGGGTAAGCAATCCTGTAGATTATCCAGAGTAGGTGATTTATTTCATCATGGTCAAAACATACACAAAATCTGTCTTCACACTCATCTGTTCCTAGAGATAGAGATAGATACATATTTATACAAAATAGAGATATGTATTTATACAAAAATAGAAGGGAACCATGGGATTTTGAGGTGTGCTGTGAAATTCCTACTATTTATCTTTTGTGTTTGACTATCCGTAGGGCTGTAAGCTTACTCAGAGCTCACATAGATGCGCCCAGGTACTGTAAGTCAACCACTGTGCTTGGTCTCTGCCCTGTTCTTGTTCTGTGAAGTGAAGAAGGCCTCAAATGCATTTGGGGTGAGGCTAGAAGCACTTGTATTTGCTACCTCTGTGTTTAAAAAAAAAAAAAAAAAGAAAAGAAAAAAAAAGCCCATTTTGTGTGTCTGTTCCCTATAAGAATTGAGTTCTTTGCCTGCTCTGTTTTCAGACATCAAGCCTTACTTTAATGTGTTTTTCTAACTCTGTGCTCCCCATGCATACTTGATCATCAAAATCACCTGAAAATACTGTGAGTTCTATGATCAGACAAGTTTAAGAAACAATCTTAGCCTGATGTGTGAGATTTGTCTTTTGGAGTTTAATTGCTGAGTCCTGTCAAGGACCCAGGTCCATAGCATGTCCCTGCAAGCACTTGGTGTCTGGCATTGCTCTTGGCAGTAAATGAATTAAAACTACAAATAAGTTAGGAGGCAAGCATCACTTCCCAAGGATCCTTTCCCAAATCAGGAGAGGCTCAGTAAGTGCTGTGAATCATAGTAATATTTATTCATTATTTCAACAATGATTTGAGTGTACACTATATGCCAGGAATTTGTGCTCAGTGCTGGGGACACACAGCTGAGAATGAGGCATTGTTTAGAATGATTTAACATTTACTGAATTGCTTATGGTGGGATGAATACCCAGCTAACTGCTTCACATGCCTTTGCTGGTTATAACTTCATAACTGTCCCATGAGGTGGGTAGTGTCACCATCATTTTAAAATTAAGAAACTGTTATTTCAGAAGTTTGACTGACTCGGCCAAGGTCACTGATCTCATAACAGGGAGATTCAGAGTCCATACTGGATGTATATTCCTGTCTCTGTTCATCTTCTGCTTAACACAATCTATGTGTCTCCACACTTTCCTCTTTCTACTGCCATCACTCCGTGATAGAATTGCCTGGTGAACTTTTAAAAAGTATCCTTGCCTGAGTTTTACCCAAAACAGATGAAAGAATAGTTGATGGGGCCCAGGCATGAGCATTTTTCAAAGCTCTCTGGGTGATGCCAATGTGTAGAGATGGTTGAGAAGCATTTCGAGCATTGTTAATTGACATCGAATACATACTGCTCCTGCCAGCCTCATGGTTTCTAGCATTCTTCTTAGATCATTTGGATTAAATGATTAATGATTCCAAATCACCTTTCTTCCCTTTTAAACAAACAGAAATCTATCAAAATATAGCAAATACTTTCATAATGCCAAATGTTCCTCAGTGAGGGACATGATAAAAGACCCATTTAACTGGGAATTTAGAAACTTGAAGATCTATTTTCAGGGGGAAGTATAGTCAACAGTGAGTGATGAAGAATGACCTGGGGTCTAGAGCACCCATGAGCTCCTGGATCTTTCTTTTTCTGGTGTGATTCTGAGATCCTGAGATCTTTTAATCTGATGGGGAAAGAAAACCTTGGGACAGATGGTAGTTTTTGAAAATTTCCCTCAACCCTGGTGAACACAGGTCATACATCAACTTATTTTTTTTCCCCAAATCCAAGTCAAAGTAAAATAAAAGCTAAATAGGAGCTTACTAATTTGGATGCCTTAATATATGTACTTTATACTAAAGATTATTTTGAATGCTCAAAGAAAAAAGAATACATTAAAAAGTAGAAGAATAGACATTTGCATTTGTTGAGGCTGTTGGACAACTTTACTCAAACAATGCATGCATATATACTTACGTAAACTTTGATTTAAGAATTCTGCGTTTCTTGCTGTCAACACTTTGTTAAACATCTATTATATGGTCAGTAATATCTTGCCTTTTAAAGATAGCAGCCTAATTAATCATTGACTCTCCACTAATTAAATTTGTTTTTATCTTGTCTTCAATCAGTGGGTTGTGACTGATCCCTATGACAGGTTCTACTCAAAGCATCTATATCAAATGTTAAGAGAAAATGGTTAGTTGAAGTAATCACAATATTGTGGTCTATAAAATTTCTAGAAAGAGAAAGACAAGGAAAGTAAATTTGGGGGTCACTGTATTTCAACAAGTTTGAGGCACTTTTATGAGAAGAAAAAAATCAAGGCTACCCGGGAGGGGGGAAACTTTTTAAACCATTAGGTCTTTAGACAGAGAAAGAAAGAACAATGACTTCCACCCCACTGTCATAGTGATTTAAGGTGAGTATTATCTTTGCATTTTACAAGTCAGACAACTGATAGGACAGTTGGATCATAAATTTTCAGTAGGGTCCAGAGTCATTTTATGACTATTACTAGAAAAGATCATTACCAAAAGAGTAAACTGAGAAAAAAAAAAAAACAAAAACAACAAAAAAAAAAAAAAAAAAAAAGAAAAACGTGAAAAATGGCCTCCTTTTTTACATTTCCACATAGGTGATCTCCATACCAGGAGATGAACTTGAACTTGGTTGGGCGGGAGACGAACCTGGTTGGGCGGGAGACTGGAGCCCCTCAGAGAATTTGGGATTCTTCCATTTTTACTGGGAGGGTTGGCAGGTATAACATGTGTTGTTATGTGAGTCCATGAGAGCCTCTCGGGTTCTTACTCCCTGCCTCTCCATGTGGTAGAGAGTCAGTCGCTTACTCTGAAGCACTCAACTGATTTCTGTCTGTGGCTTACCCATGAACAGTGGCTTGGAAGTGTGAAAGCATGAGAAGCATGCAGTGGAACAGCATGCGCTGCCGCCATCTTCTACTTGGTTCTGCATGGGAAAGCTCCTGGGCTGGTTGCCTCTGGGCTCAGGCTTTTTTCTCTCTCTCCCTACAGAACTCACTGAAGGCTTCAAATCGGAAGAAGAAGAGAACCAGCTTTAAAAGAAAAGCCAGTAAAAGAGGGATGGAAGTAGGTGTTTCAGAGTTTTATTCTGAGGAATTTTCACTTTCTTTCCATAACCTACTCTGCCCTATGAGATCAGATCTAAGTTGATTTTTCTGATCTATCTTCTACCACTGCTTTCTCCTCACTGCACTCTAACCACAATAGAATTCTTTCTGTTCTTTTTAAAAAACACTCAAAACTAACCTCTGCACTTGCCTGGAAATGTTGTCCCAGGATGATGATGATGAAGATCAAAGCTAATATTTCTGGAATATTTGGAGTTTACCGAGTAAAATAAAAAGCCTGTCTTAATTCTCTGGAGCAAATGATAACTTGAGATACTTTCTTCCAAGTCTTACATGGAAGTCGTGTTAAGAGTCAGCCCTGGGAAACAAAATGTAGGGTTTTTCTACCTCCCTTGCCTTGGGGTTGCGTTTTAAGCCATGGATGTGTATCCTAACAGTGCTGATCGCTTCTTTCAGCAGGAAAACAAAGGTCGTCCTTTTGTGATAAAACCCATCTCTTCTCCTCTCATGAAACCCTTGCTTGTATTTGTGAATCCCAAGAGTGGAGGCAACCAGGTGAGTCATTTTTCATGATTTTTAACTGAGAAGTTTTGATAAGTTCTTGAAGACACAACTCTCACAGCCAATTAAAATAGTACCACTAGGATCCAGGCTTTGGAAGACACCGGTTTCTCAGGAACAAGGTTATTGTTTCTCTGATAGCTTTACACATTACAGGGCTGGGTAAAACCTAGATGTTCTATAATTCGTCTGTCTGCTTCCATATAAGACTATAACAGAGGCACTTAAGAAACCTAACTACTGACTTTTTCCTTACAGATTTTCAAGAAAGGATATTCCAGAATTTCTCTTAGTTCATATGTTTCAGGATTCCTCAATTCTTGTAGTTAGGAGGTCCTTTATCAACTTCTTTTTATTTCTTTCTGTTGCCATTTAGATACAACTACTTTCATCCCTATCCTCAGAGAAGAAAAAAGGATGATTCGTGAGTCATGATAATCACTACCAAATACCAGCAACATTATAGAAAATATCAACTTCTTAAGGTTTCACTTGGTCCTAGCCCAAATCCTATAGTACAGATAGTTATCTCCTTTGAGAATAAAGAAATTGACTTAGAAAAGTTAAGTCTAAAGGCATGCCTAAAGTCACACTGCTCTTTAAAGGACAGAATTTGTTCTTGAATCCTGGTCTTTGTCTCTTCATCCAATTCTCCTCCCACTCTCTGAGGCTTCTTATCAATACTCTTTTATGGGCTTTAATTTTCTGTTATTTTCGTCTGAGTTTGGATGAGAAAATATTTTCTTTATCCATGAAGTATATATTTTACATTTTGAGACAAGATTCCTTCAAGTTTTATGATAAACAACTGGAGATTTGAAACCCTTTAGTCATCCCATATAAGGAAGGTAAGTTGTATAATTAGAATTGACTTGATCCAATGGTCCAAGATGATGTTCTTGTTACTAAAGACAATGGGCATTGTCTGGAATGTATTAATTACAATAAAACTTCTCTTATGGGAGCTTATGATTTAAATGAAATATTATTCCTCCTTTCATCTCTTTCTTCAAAATTCTCAAAAACTTATGATAAAAATGTGTATTAACATTTTGGAGAACAAGGAAAAGAAGTTTGTGTAAGCAAAGAAACCATTTGCTTTCAAGACCTGCATTTTTGCGTTGCTGAGAGATCTTTGTGGAGTAATGATGGCAATTCTAAGACATCATTAGAGGAGGACCTAGACATGGGTTTCCTTGAAATGAGGTTTAATTTTCCCTGAACCATTCCCACTCTCTTGGGCTAGTATCTCTATGTCCTATCAAAGGTTAGAGATGCAGTTGGGAACCATGAAACATGGAAATGTAATTGGTTCCATGATTTTGGCCACCTGAGCACCACATATTAATATTAATTAATATTAACACAAAAACCACTTGCCACATTTTGTCATGACAGTCCACATTTAAGATACATTTATTAAATCATTATAAGCTGTCTTTCCTAGGGCACACAGAAGCTTGTAAGTTACGTATTTCTTTAAGGAGCTGATGATCCAGTTAAGACATAGCCTGTTCCTATTCCAGTCTATGTATAAATTATTAATAACGGGGACTTCAGAGATTATCTAATATTACTTCCTATTTCACTAAATAGAAAAGAGAGGTCAAGGAAGCTTAAAATGAACTTTTCTAAAGACATCTTGTTTGTTAATGACACAAAAGGAACAAATGGAAAATAATTTAAGCAACATTAACTGAATGCGACTTCTAAATTGAGTGGCTCAGACTGCAGTGCTATGGTATTTCAGAGGTAAGCAGTGACTTGGGAGCGATAAGGAAATGGTGTCATGGACATGGCTGAAATCAAAGATGGACACTACTTAGTTATGCAGAGGAGAGAAGACTGGAAGGACTGTCCTTTTCCTGCTGTTTACTGTGGGAGATTCCTGTGTGGTAAATTCTTGTTCATCCTTCAAGGCTGAGTGGTGCCTTTCTGAACCATTTCTGGAGATCAATCATCCTGTCCACTATGCCCCAATAGCCCTTGGTACACATTTGCATGATATGAACTGCAACATAACTGCTCTATGTGCATCTTCACTGTTGGAATACAGGTCCACCATTGAATCTGTGATTGCTAGAATACAGCACATAGTTAAATAATTGTATAATAGGATTAGAAGAACAGATGTCATGATGCCGATTATTCATTTTGAGGACAATATGATGAGTGGTGCATGCATATTAAGTTATTGGAAATGTGATTAGATAAAGATCAGAATGATCCTATGGAATCATATCTCCAAGAAACAGGATACTTCATATTGAAGACTTTGGATTTATGCAATGGAAACTAGTTTTTTTGCTGTTTAAAATATTTTAGGTTAAAAATCCTTTTGGCTTTTGAACAGAGGAGTAATATGGTGGAATGTAATGTGCATATGACTTGGTTGGGAATCGTGTTACAATGCAGATTCTGCTTCAGTAAGTCGGGGTGGGCCGTAAGATGCCGCATTCGTAACAAGCTCGCAGGTGCTGGTACTGCTGCTCAGAGAACCATACTCTGGTTAGCAGGAGCTTACTGTGATCAATAGAAAAATAGATATTTTTTGTTAAATCCTGAGTTTTGCCTTTTCATAGTTTACTTATTCTATTCACCTGCTTTTAACTGTAAAAGCATTCCTGTCTCTTTCCCTCTTTGAAACTTGGGCTTTAGACTTTTTTTTTTTTTTTTTTTTTTTTTCATTTTTAACTTGCTTAGTCTTCTGTTTTTTAAGTAAATGACTGGGCAGTATTGCCACCTACTGGCAAGAAAAATAGCTTTTTTCTTTATGTAATATTTTACTTGTGTTAAGGAAAACATTTTGAAGGAATGTATTGGGATGAACATATGTAAGGACTGCTTCTATGTCTTTCTTTTAAGAAATCCCATATTTTAAAACTCTTTATTTTTTTTCTAAATTGATACATTATTTTTTGTACATACTTATGGAGTACATATGCTATTTTGATACATTTATGGCATGTATAATGGGTATTTAGCACATCTATCACCTCAAACATTTGTCATTTCTTTGTCTTTGAAATATTTCAAATCTTCTAGTTATTTTGAAAGGTACAATATACTGTAGTTTAGTATAGTCACCCCACTGTGCAAACACTAGAACCTATTTCTTCTATGTAGTTGTATGTTTGTACTCACTATCCAACCTCTGGTCATTCCCCACCCCCATCACACCCTTCCCAGCCTCTGGTAACTATCATTCTACTCTCTACCTCTGTCAGCTCCACTTTTTTAGCTCCTCTACATATGAGTGAGAGCATGCCAATTTTTGTCTTTCTGTGCCAGGTTTATTTCGCTTAACATAATGACCTCCAGTTCTATCTTTGTTGCTGCAAATGACAGGATTTCATTCTTTTTTATGGTCAAATAGTATTTCATTACGTATATGTATCACGTTTTCTTTATCCATTCTTCTGTTGATGAACACCTAGGTTGCTAAATCTCTTCTTTTAAACTTCGCAGTAGTTGTCTCTTTGTTTTTCCAACACTCTTAAGGTAGAGATGACACTGGGTGTTTTGCAAAGCTGTAGAGCTTGGTAGCGCTGCTGCTATTGTATTATTGGGATTTGAATTATTTGAGGAATCAGGGACCAAAATTTCAACTTTTTTTTTTTTTGAGACGGAGTCTTGCTCTGTCACCCAGGCTGGAGTGCAGTGGCACGATCTCAGCTCACGGCAACCTCCACCTCCCGGGTTCAAGCAATTCTCTTGCCTCAGCCTCCAAAGTAGCTGGGATTACAGGCATGTGCCACCACACCAGGTTATTTTTGTATTTTTAGTAGAGATGGGGTTTCACTGTGTTGGCCAGACTGGTCTGGAACGCCTGACCTCAGGTGATCTGCCTGCCTCGTCCTCCCAAAGTGCTGGGATTATAGTACTATGCCCAGCCAAGAATTTCAACTTTGAATACCTCCTTCTGTGGAAAGAGATAGTAAGTAGAAGATAACGTTTACTCCAATGCAATCCCCTCCTATGTGTGGAAACTTTCGAGTACTAGAGAAATAGGCCCCCTCCCTTACACTTCTGTTTGCCTTAATGTCAAAACTTAGATTTTTCTTTGAGGTCCTGGCCTCATTAGCATATTTCTGAGTTTTATAGAATCCTGTGATGTTTCTCAGTATTTCCTGCTTTCACACTGACTCTCCCTCACGTTCTCTCATGACTTTCTCTTCCAGTGACCTAGACTTTAACTTCAGGGTAAAGCAACGTTCTGACCTCTAGGATGATTCTAGCTGATCATCCCCCAGAGCCGAGGGATCCAGACCCTGGCTTTGCATGCTGTTCGATGTGGAATCCTAGGGTAGAGGTATGGCAGGAGTTGGATCCTTGGATTAAAAGCCCCAGGTCTTTATCAGTAGGGTGATCAAGGAAGAGGTATCCAGTCTGTGGACAGACTCATGCCAGCTGAGTTTACACCACCATTTGGGAATAGGCTTTCTCAGACTAGGGTCACCCCTCCTAAGTTGGGGACCAGTCACATCAAGGTGAGGAGAAGTGGAAGACAGAAAGAGTAAATAACTTCCGATGAGAAATTTTAGTCCCAAAACTGTTTCTAAATAATTGGACAAACTACTTTAATGAAGTACTTACTTTTCTTCAGTACTGGAAACTTTGCAACCGAGTGATAATTCAAGGATAATTACGTTTAGATAAAAGTTTAGGCTCCTAAGGTTTAGCGTAGGCAGGGGAGAGGGCAGAGGGCAGTCAATAGATGAGGACACTTGTCAAAATCTAACCTCAAGATCTTCTTGTCCAGCCAGCCTCAACAGATGGAATTAAAACAACCAAATGATGAATCTATGGAAAGTCCTGTTTCTGAAATCATAATATTGGTGGGAGAACTGGGCAGCTAAGACCCAAACTAGCTCCTGTGATAGGTCTGGCTCCTTAGTCTGTAGCCAGAGTGATGCATAAAAAAAGTCAGTTTGGAGAAAAAAAAAAACAAAACAAACAAACAAAAACAAACAAACAAACAAAAACAAGGTGGTCTGAATCTCTTAATTAAGACTTTTCAATGACTCCTTGTTTTCTATAAATCTCAAGCTCTGAAACTTCATCTGTTTGGGGTGGAAAGAAAGACTTTACTTATTTTTCGAGACACATTTCAGATATTTTACTTACAATGCCTTCTAATCTCTCAACTTGGGCTAAGAGTGTTTCCTCTGGGCACTCATCCTCCTCAGCAGACATCTGTATCAGAGAAGTTCTCATCTTTAGTGAATTAATTTATTTTGTTTTGCTCTCCTTCCAGTAGATTCTGAGATCCTGATGGTACACATGGACAGAGTAGGGGCCCAATACGTATTATTGAATAAATGAGGCATTCTGTTTGGATTGTTTGAAGCAGTTTGAAATAATTATTTCTTAAGCCCTTCCTCTCATTAATGTATTTTTCTCTGGCCTTCCTTATTGTCTGGGCAGTTGTTCTTTCTATAATCTAGACAATGCCTGCATGATATAAACCAAGACTTAGTAACATAGCAGAGTTTCAGCCTACACTAGAGTTATGGTGCTTTGATGAAGATTGATGTGCTGTTTGAACGGATCAATTCTTGATTGCTTCTCCACACCCCCAACAACTGTCATTAGGTTTTCCTTTATGAATAATGCACAGAACTTCCTTCTGAGAGCAAGATCATCTCTGTCTTGTTCATCTGTGTATTTCTCTGTATTCTCTTACCTAAAACTGTGCCTGTCACATAGTAGGTGAATGAATGACTCTTGTTAAATCCAGCCACTTTTTGGGAATTTGTATTCTCCTGTTGCACTCCCTCGCCAGTACCTGCTGCTTGGAAGAATAATGTTCTTTTCACTCCTTAGGAATACCCCTTCTTATAATATCTATAAAACTTCTGTGGTCGGTGAGGTATATCTACAACAGCATGCATGGATTGGGATTGGCATATAAGCTGGTTTTTTTTTTTCGTTTAGAGAAAATTGCACAAAAGTTGCAGTTTCTGTGTTTAGCATTATAGCGTGTGATTACTATGAGAGTGTTGGAGACTTGTTAGTGAGTGACAAGTGTCTAAATGAGCAGATTTAATTGTACTATTGAGGAAGAAACAAATTACTCTTCTCCTGGTGAATTAATATTTGTCTAACCATTCAGTTACATTTAATAAATTACCTCTATTAAAGCTTTAAAGTGACTTAACCTAGAGGTAACAGCAGAGTTAATATAATTCGTTTAAATGTGTGAGTTAGATCTTTGTCTCTCCACCCACTAGGTGGAGCATTTTTTCAATGCTTTCTTTTAGACACTTACCATTTTTGGTAATAAATACCATATTTTGGAAAGAAGATTACTTTTTAAAATACGTAGTCACATCATGCCTGAATGTCAACTTCAACAGGGTAGCCATGCCTGGCTCTGCAAGTTATCTCTACACGATTGCAGGAATGTTATTCCAATAGACTACAATAGAAATGGCACCTCTGCGGCCACTCAGACCTTTTAGAGAAATTCAAGTTAAGGAAAACAATCTCTCAATGCTTTTTATTTTTATTTTGTGGAAGATGTTAATTACCTAGTAATGTTTGCATGATAGGGAGGCTGAAACTGAGATGTGCACTCTCCTATAGCAAAGGTGGAAAGGAGTAATTAACATCAACAATTCAAACTACTCTAGGAATCTAAAACTGAACACAAAATTTTCTTTTCTTTTCTTTCTTTTTTTTTTTTTTGAGACAGAGTCTGTCTCTGTCGTCCAGGCTGGAGTGAAGTGGCGTGATCTCGGCTCACTGCAAGCTCCGCCTCCCGGGTTCACGCCATTCTCCTGCCTCAGCCTTCTGAGTAGCTGGGACTACAGGTGCCCGCCACCACGCCCAGCTAATTTTTTTGTATTTTTCGTAGAGACAGGGTTTCACCATGTTAGCCAGGATGGTCTTGATCTCCTGACCTCGTGATCCACCCGCCTTGGCCTCTCACAGTGCTGGGATTACAGGCGTGAGCCACCGCGCCCAGCCTGAACAAAGAATTTTCTAGCAAGTCAGTTGGAAATGTTTTATAAATTAATTGGTCATTAAAATAACTCCTGTGTTACCTATTAAACATAAAAGATTATTCAAGATAATCCCAAACATAATTCATAACAAGGCTCAGCATGAGAAGAGGGAAAATGATCCAGTATTTAGTGTGTATATAGATCTAAATCTGCTTGAATTTGATAGGAAGGAAAATATGTCATTTGATGAAACTGAAGGATTCGTTGTAATTATTAGATAGAGTGTGATTCCTAAAATTATAGCAAGCACATGATAAGGCAGAACTTTTAAATTATAGGTTTGGCTGGTACATGCAACAAAAGACCTGCACTGGCCTATGTAACAACAGGAGTAACAATGTGATAATTATAAGCTACACTTTACCGCTCACATTCGCAAGTGTAATTTAATGAATAGATTAACAGGCTGCAAAAAAGAAAAGGATTAACATTAACAACGATCTGTTTTGTGCCACATACTGTGCTAGATACGTGACTGTTACTGATTGATTTAATTCTCATATTCACCCTGGAAGGTGGACATCGTTTCTATTTTATATACTGCATTTCTGCAAGGTTATAAATGCTCATGATTATTCAGAACACTGAAGTTAGTTTGACCTCAAATCTCATACTATGTCTGCTATACTAGGATGACTCTTAAATGCAGTTTATTAGTTAAACAAGCCTTGGAATATTTTAAGAAAGAGCAATTGTGATATCTACTAAAACAACAATATTATGAGCAACAAACTCGGCTCAACTGGTCAAATATTATTTGCTATGGGTGATAAAATGGGGCATCCTGCTCATTTTTAAAGCTCTTTTGGTATTGCTTGATAAAAAGGTTCTTCTTGAATTTCTTGTTTGCTCAAGCCACTTTAAAAATGATCTCTAAAGTGACCTTATGTCTGCTATAATGATGATCTCTATAAATGTCACAGTTACTTAAAACGCCCCAAAAATGTTCAAGTGAGAAGTGTTTGGCTTAAACAAACCGGTATAGGCATGGAGATTGAAAATGTCAAAGTAAGCTGTGATCTTACTAAGGAAGTTTTATATATATATAAAATAACTGGGAGCCTGGGATACTTTTGCTTCAGTTAGAAGAAAGTGTTTCTATAAAATTATATTGGCCAGGTGCGGTGGCTCATGCCTGCAATCCCAGCACTTTGGGAGGACGAGATGAGTGGATCACGAAGTCAGGAGATTGAGACCATCCTGGCTAACACGGTGAAACCCCGTGTCCCCTAAAAATAAAAAAAATAAAATAAAAAAGAAAAAAGACCAGGTGTGGTGGCAGGCGGCTGTAGTCCCAGCTACTCGGGAGGCTGAGGCAGGAGAATGGCGTGAACACGAGAGTCAGAGCTTGCAGTGAGCCGAGATCGCACCACTGCACTCCAGCCTGGGGGACAGAGCGAGACTCCATCTCAAAAATAATAATAATAATAAAATAAAATAAATACGTAAATACAATTATATTAATACTTAGCTAATGCTGCCCATATTTTATATTATACAGACAATAATCTGCACAATAAAGTGAAAATTAATGTCAAATTACATAGGTTCACTAATAACTTTTCTGTATGGATTTTCATACATTAATGATAGTAAAATAAATATTCATTAAGGGTTTACTGCATTTTAAACACTGTAATGTACTTCTCAAAAATTATGGCTTTTAACCTTGCAACAAGTCTGCAAACTGGGTATTCTTGTCTCTGTGTTAAAGAAAAGGTGGGTTGATCTAAATGAAGTTAAGAAACTTGCCCAGAGTTACATAGGTTAGATAAACATCTAGCCCAACATTCAACCTACGTATATCCATGACCAAAGCTGGTGATTTTAACTACACTTCTATACTGCTTATAATTAGATATTATTTTATTTACTTATTCATCATTCATTCACTCACTCATTTTTATTTGTTGAGACAGGGTTTCACTCCTATCACTCAGGCTGGAGTGCAATGGTGCGATCTCGGCTCACAGCACACTCCACTTCCTCGGCTGGGACTAAAGGCATGCGTCACCACACCTGGCTTATTTTTGTATTTTTTGTAGAGACAGGATTTTTGTCATGTTGCCCAGGCTGGTCTCAAACTCCTGGGTTCAAGCGATCCACCTGCCTCAGTCTTCCAAGGTGCTGGGATTATAGGCATGAGCCACCATTCCCCGTGTATTATTTTAAATAAAAGGATTGATTTTTTTAAATGAGCAGTGGAAAATTTCTTCCTATTATTGCCTTTTTGTGTATTTATTTTTTACAGGGAACCAAAGTCCTGCAGATGTTCATGTGGTACCTGAATCCACGGCAAGTCTTTGATCTTTCTCAGGAAGGGCCAAAAGATGCGTAAGTCTGGAAATACTCTCCATGGTCCATAAGTATTTTAGGCAAGTGAGCACTTTCTGCTTCATTATCTGATTACCTTGTGAGGTATTTCCTGACCGTCTGTCATCTACTTTCTCACCTGTATCTCCTTCCTTTAAAACTTCATCTAAAGTTCTCTCCTACTCTTTCTTGGCTTAGTTCCCTTCAAAACATATCTTCTCAGCTATTAACTCAGGATACGTCTAGTGTGTTTGTTACTTACATGTGTGTAACTGCAGACTGTTCTCCACAAATCTGTGAATTGAGAAAGGACTCATTGTTTTTCTATTTCTTCATGTACAACTTTGGAGATTTACATTAGTGGGAATGTAAATGTATGTCTGTGGAGGGTGGAGCCATATTTGTTTACAAACATTTGAACTGAAAAGAGTGTATGTGTGCGCGCGTGCGCCTGCGTGTGTACGAGAGACAGAATCAATTGATTATACCTGAGGACTCTGCACAAGTGTGGGGAAGACATATTAATTCCTGCTCAATCCCTTTTCTGAGCTTCTCAGAAATCTCATTCCCTGCTTTTGTTAGAAGTGTTTAAAACAAAGTCTAGATTGTAGGTGACCCATATCCTGTTTCTCCCCCTTGGTGGAGAGGCACACAGTGGAAAAGACCAAGCACACTTCTGCTGTTCTCTGTCTCCCTGTTTTAAATTCATGTACTAGGATAGTTCAGATGTTATCTGATAAATGTTAGAACACAAGGATACCATTTATTTTTTAATAAGTAACAATGTCAGAAGGTGATTTCTAGATAAATAGTATTATTGTATAAAATGGATAAATTACTTATTTTAAGCATGTAGGAGATTAGGAAATATTAAAATTAATTTGTTATTTTCTTAATGCATAAATTTCTTTGCCAGTTGAGTTTGCTGCAAGATTCTTTCTCTCTCTGTCCCTATAATACACACATACACCGCCCCCCCCCATATATTTATTTATTTTCTATACTTTATTGTGCTAAGGCAAATCTACTATCCTGGGATGCGCCATTTTAGGAGCTTGTTTTCTTAAGATTTTATCACTTTAGTTAGACCCTAGAGAGACACTTCAGAGGTCACCACAAAGAACATGGTAGGACAGGAAATATTTTCAGAAGAAACCCATATTTTGTGATTTAAATAGGTGATATTTTCTCAATTACAGCCTCTCACAGCTTCACCTAAGCAAAAGATTTAGCAGGAGCAGTGTCACTGCATTTTTCTGAGAGTCAAGAGGAAAGACAAAATGATCTTATTTCAAGCAGGGAAGTTTGAAATAAAGAAAAATCAGTCAATCTTCCCACTTTGGGTTGGAGGTAAAAGTGGTGTGTAAGTGACTGAGCTGAGAGACAGACTAGATGGAATCGTAGATGTGATAGTAATGATAATGGGGAAGCCTCCCCATCTTGCTGAAAAAGATTTCTTAGGATTCAGAGTAGAAAGTGTAAGTTAGAAAAAGTAAATACATCCAGGGAAAGCTAGTAAATATAAAGAGAGAATATATAAGGACTATTGATTATCAATTAATGATGATTTTCTTGGGGAAAGGAGAAGAGGAAATGATGGGAAAAGGGAAAGAAAGAAGTCAAAACTAATGAGAAAAATAACGTTGACATGTAATAGAAGTTATGGGAAATAAAACTAGGACATCCTAAAATTCCTTAAATTCCAACGTTGAATTATTCATTCAAAAATAATGTCTGATGCCTACACCTGTTCCACTTGTGGGAGTCATTCCTTCTGTGGTTACTTGGGACCTATGATAGTATTGTCATCCTCACGATTATACATTTTCTCCAGTGGACACCACCCCTACCCATGTTGTCCTCTGCTTTCTCTCTGCTCTAGCCAGTGAAATGTTCTTTTGTTTACTTTTTCTTCTATTTCTTCTACAGGCTTGAACTGTATAGGAAAGTACCAAATCTGCGAATTCTGGCCTGTGGTGGGGATGGAACGGTAGGTCCCTGAAAGAGAATCCAGTTCTCTGCCCATTCTATATTTCTTATTGTTTTCTTGTGCCACTTCTTTTTATTCTTTGCCCAGTCTTTCCAATCCCCTAACACACACAGATCTCTCATGTGAATCAAAGCCCCTAAGAGTAACAAAGGACTTTTTATTGTCCTTATGAATACATACTTGATCGTTCTAATGTGTGCTTCATTCCCTCAACTGTGCTGTATTCTTTCCTGTGCCATGAAGTAGGGATGTGGTCAAATCATTAAAATGAAGATTATAGATAAATTCCTTTTAAAATGTAAGCTGACCTGTTTCCTTTTTTTTTTTTTTCCCGAGACAGAGTCTCGCTCTGTTGCCCAGGCTGGAGTGCAGTGGCGCAATCTCGGCTCACTGCAAGCTCCACCTCCTGGGTTCACGCCATTCTCGTGCCTCAGCCTCCTGAGTAGTTGGGACTGCAGGTGCCTGCCACCATGCCTGGCTAATTGTTTAGTAGAGCGTGGGTTTCACTGTGTTAGCCAGGATGGTCTCGATGTCCTGACCTCGTGATTCGCTCGCGTTGGCCTCCCAAAGTGCTGGGATTACAGGCGTGACCATTTATTCTTAGTAATTTGACCACAGTAGGGAGAAATACGTGGACACAATTGAATTATTACTTTTTTTTTTACTAGTGGGACTAAAACTCAGAATATTGACTGTTGTTTTGCCCTAAAGATTATTAATTGGTCCTATTTATATTCTTTTTTGTTGATACATTTTACATGTATATGGACTATGTGTGATATTTTGTTACATGCATAGAATGTGTAATGTCAAGGTTTGGAGGTATCCATTACCTAGATGATAATTTCTATGTGTTGGGAACATTTCAAGTTCTCTTTTCTAGCTACTTTGAAATACATAATACATTGTTGCTGACTGTACTCACCCTACTCTGCCATTGAACATTAGAACTTATTCCTTCTATCGGACTGTATGTTTGTATTTGTTTATGAAAAAAACGTGGAATTGGGCTGAAGGTTAATATCATGGATATATTTTTTCCTGTTTATTATGCCTCATCTGTTTTCTTCATTTGGCCTCTACTTATAGTGATATATTTAACAAAGTAAAGAATTGAGAATCATGACATTTAGCTTGTATTGTCTGGATCTTTTTCTTCTGGATTTGGAATCTGATCTCATAGGATCTATGATTGTATCATGAACTATCTTTAGCTTTTCTCTAATTTCCCTAATTAGAATGTTTTATTCTCAAAGGTAGCAACAAAATCTTCCAATACTATCTCTCTTAGCACATAAGCATTTAATGTAGGGTTGGATGCACATTATATACCAATAAATGCAATCACAATGAAATAGAACTGTGATTTTTATCGGTCTTTCAGATACTCTGTGGAGAATAAAAACAATGTTCAGTTGGGAAAAATAGTCTTTATCTTTCTTCAAGGTTTATATTACACAATATTAGTTTATAAAATGCATTATAATGTCTTACAGCAAAGAAGCCAAACCTATTTAACTTTTTTAAATCCAACGGTTTTCAAAATTATTTGGCCATGGAATTTTTTTCCCACACAATACCAATTTTCAATTGATTTTATTGTTCTAGGGAGACATATTTAAGGGATGTGCTAGGGCAAAATTTCCCAACTTTCTTTAGTAAGAATTACATCCGAATGAACCCTCTGAGGATGGATATACTGTGTTCTTCCTAACTCAAGCATCCCCCAGCTTAGTTATCTTTAATGAAAGGGTAAACTCATTGTGATTCTGTACCATACCCATAGTTATCTTCCTTATTTTAGCATCTACTTGCCTTCTCATATGACTTCAGATGTCACTCACATCTTTTCTCCTTTTCTAAACCTCAGTGACAAAAACAGGTAAGTTGAGGATGTCGTCCTTCCTCTTTCTTAACTCAAATTCATATAAGCTACGCATAACATCCCCAGATCTTGGACTTCTTTGTTGCCTTGGGTGCTCCACCTCCCAGGCCTCCCCTTCTCCATGGAACCTCCCACTCTACCTCTCCCTCCCTCATTCTCTCTCCTTTCTTCTTCGTTTTCTTTTTTCATTCTTTCCTTTTTTTTTTTTTTTAGACGGAGTCTGGCTCTGTCACTCAGGCTGGAGTGCAGTGGCATGATCACAGCTCCCTGCAACCTCTGCCTCCCAGGTTCAAGCGATTCTCTTGCCTCAGCCTCCCAAGTAGCTGGGATGATAGGCATGTGCCACCACACTGGGCTAATTTTTGTATTTGTAGTAGAGACGAGGTTTCACCATGTTAGCCAGGATGGTCTTGATCTCCTGACCTCGTGATCCACCCGCCTTGGCCTCCCAAAGTGCTGGGATTACAGGTGTGAGCCACATGCCTGCCTGTCTTCCTTTTTTACTCAGCAGATATGTGGAGGAAGCACTGTGCTAGGTCATGTAGTATTGAGATATTCTCTGCATTAGGTGAATATTTGAAAGCATGGGATTTCAATGAATAAAGGATAAAGAGGAAAGACAGCCAAGTCCACACACTTGTGAAACCTATAATTATGGGGTCTGAGCCAAAGTCCAAAAGGAAAATAAATGAAAAAATAGAAGAATAGGACAACCACCAGTCTGTTCTGGCAAGTAAACAAACCAAAAAAGGAGTTTCAAGAAAGAGGCAGTAGTTAACGTTTTTAAGGAGACACTGAAAAGTTACCATTGCATATGGAGTTTCAAGAAAGCAGTTTCAATAGAGTATTTGGGGCAAAACCCAGAATGATGAGTAAGTGAATGTTGGTACAATCTTAATAAATTCCTAATGGACAGATCCGATTACAGTTTCAAATGTCTGTGATCTCTCTGATACCATTGTCAGCCTCTTGACATGTAGACTACCTCCTTCTACTTTTCATATCCAGTCTTTTCAAGCAACTCTTCATTAATGATACCATAATTTATGAGTATTCCATAAGGGTAACTAATTTTTTTTAATGTGGTAGGTACTTTTTCCTCTTAGGGACATTATCTATATTTTAACTTCTGTTTTTACCTCCTCTGATGTAATTCACAAATGTACTAGTCATTTACACTTGGGTGTCCCATGGCCACTTGCATTCAGTATGCCTAAAATAAAAGTAGTACATTTACCCTAGAGTTGGTGCATTTAGACTAATTATTTTTATCAGTGGTAACATCTGTAGTTAAAATACTCAGAATCAAGACTTTGCTTATCTTGTACCTTATGTAAACCCAAGTTTAATTTACCTTGTTAGAATAAGAGGTTTTGTGAAAAACATGGGGTATATGAAATGTTTATCATGGTATGTGACTGATATTTTTTTGTTTTGTTTTGTTTGTTTTCTATCACTGTAGAAGCTGGCAGAATGCTGCCAGTAAAGTGACAAAGCTCAGGGAGAAATCAGAAATTAAATATTTTTGACTGACTAGGATGAGGCTGTATTACCCCATAACCAAATTAGTTTAAATTAAGAGTATTATTTAAGATATAGAAAGTATTAGTTAAGGTATAGAAAGTTTGCACTACTTTGGAAAAAAGTTCTTAGGCTTCAATATTAGCTACTTTAATTGTATGTTATTTAAAAACTACATGAAAAGCCAGGTATGGTGACTCACGCCTATAATCTCAGCACTTTGGGAGGCTGAGGTGAGCACATCACTTGAGGTCAGGAGTTTGAGACCAGCTTGGCCAACCTGGTGAAACACCATCTCTATTAAAAATACTAAAATTAGTTGGGCATGGTGGTGCATGCCTGTAATCCCAGCTACTTGGGAGGTTGAGGTGGGAGAATTGCTTGAACCCAGGAGGTGGAGGTTGCAGTGAGCCAAGATTGCACTACTGCACTCCAGCCTGGGTGACACAGTGAGAGTCTGTCTCAAAAACAAACAAACAAAAACAAAAACAAAACCAAGGAAGCAGAGGGATACATTCCCCAATAATGCACTTGGAAGTAACCTTTGGCAGGTTCCTTAACCTCTTTTGAGACTTCCTAAATCTACAAAGAAATGCATTCAGATCTCTAAGGTTCTTATAGCTGTAGCATTATAGTAATATAGACTATTGTTCAAGATAACTTTAATGCAAGCCACATTTGTACAATTTTGAATTTTCTAGAAGGTACTTTTAAAAACGTAAAAAGCAAGTGAAATTAATTTATAATATATTTTATTTATCTAAAATAGTATCATTTCAATATATGTTAATTTATAAACATTAAGATATTTTATGTTCTATTTGTACAGTCTTCAAAATCTAGCATACATTTTATACTTACAGCACATCCAATTTGGATGAGCTATATTTGAGTGCTGGATCACCACGTGTGGCCAATGGCTGCTGCGTTGGGCAGTGCAGGTGTAGTCTCTTTGTTACTGGCTTGTACAATTCAGAGGCTGTCACATAGTTACAGCTGTCAGATGGTCTGATTCCATTTTCAGATCTCTTGGCTTCAATAAAATTCAGCTAACTCAAGAATGATCTCAAACCTTCATGTTTGTAAATGAGAAATAGCCTGTCCTTGGTCATGTGATAAATTTGTATTTTCTCACTTCCTTGGCCACGTTGACACCTATTCAACTCCCAATGGCTGTCACCCTGCTGAAATATTGACGAGCACATGAACTGATTTCTTCAGGTACCCTCATTATGGCTCCTTAAGGTGTGACCAATGGTCCCTATCTATCTGGCTCCTGACTTTGGTGAACTTGGCTGGATCTGCAAGTCTACCTTTAAACATTTTAATTATTTCCGAAAGGCCTGATGTTAAATTGACTCCAGCCATCCACTTCATGCTTACTTCTTGTTCTATTGGCTTCCCTAGATGAAAAGACATCTAAAATGGTAGGTATCCCCATGCCCTGACTCACCACAGCTAATGCAAAGAAAGAAGTATTATTTTCCTTTAATCGATATGGACAATCATCTCTCATCCTAAGCCCCTTTCCTCATTCATCCTCAGCCTAGTTATATTTCATAGTCTCTCATGAGTAAGCACACAGTGTACCCTC